GCAAACGAGCTCTGTCAGCATGTCTGGCGCCCCCCTCCTCCCCGCCACAGCACATGCAGGCGTCCACGGGGCGCCTAGAGCAGCGAACACAGCACAGCCAATACCACAGCCTCTCTGCCACTTCTCAGATGCCTACTGTCTAAGGAAAAGCCATCAACGTGATCACACTGGCCAGTGTTTGGAAAACTCATCATTGTGCTTCCGGTAAATGTGACACCACCACACTCACCTCTGTAGATCCCAGGTGCCCTGCGCCTGGCCAGAGTCATGCCTTCTCGTGCCCAGTTTGACAGAGGTCCGATCGGCCTGCTGCCCCAACGCCAACGTGCGATTTCAGTGTTCATTCTGATCTTTAAGTGGGGACTGGGCGATCTGCCTCCAGTGCCTCCCCAGTCCAATCTCTGTACAGTCCCAGCTTAGAGACTGGTACCATGCTGGCCACTTAGGCCCAGGGCGGGCAGAGGAAGCCTCCCTCTGCTCGTGGTGCTGCTGTCTGAAGGGCCTGCACTTAACCACTCTGGCAACCAGCTCGAAGACAGAGAGTAACAAGATAAATGAAAGGTCAGCAATCGAAGGTGAGTCAGACCTAGCCAGCCACCTGATCAATGCCACTGTGCAGGCGAGAATGACTGTAGGTGCAGAGTGCCTTCTGTAAGATCTGCATGGTCAATGAGCAGGCTGGCCACTGCTGGGGTGGCCTGCACATCTGGGCGAACGCACCTGCCAGGACCTGTGGGACCTTGACTTTGGAGAGGGGCTGTAGTCCCACCAGTGCCAACGGGAACCAGGACAAGGGCTGTGAACTAGATGGGTGCCCCTTGGGCTGGGGGATACAGGCAGCCCAGTGACAGGAAAGGAGCGCCGGCAGAGCCACTGGAGGAGCATCCTGGCATGGTGGTGGCACCAAGTGGATGCCTGGAAGCACCTTCAGCTCCCCACTGTCATGACCTCTGGGACCCCTGCTCTTGCTGGTGGTTGGATGTCAAGAAAACGCGGGATGCAGGAACCACAGACTGAAACAACAGGACTGCCTGAGCCACACAGACCTCGACCAGGAGCCAGGACACAGGAGGTGATCGATCTGCTCAGCCTGTAGTGGGGGTGGGGGTGGGGGTGGGGTGTGAAACCTTAGTTTGGGGTCCAGGTCTCCCTGCACCAGACATAAAAAACCCAGCTAGAGACTGAGCTGGGGCACATGACACAGGGAAGCTTTGCTGAACAGAGTGGACAGCTCATGGAGGGCAGCCGGGAGAAACAACTGCTTTGCAGGCCAGGCTGCTCCCCGCCTGGAAGGACCCTGGCCCATCTGGGAAGAGCAAACCAGAACTCGGCCTGGCAGCGTGAGCAGGTGCACCGTACATACAAATCCATTCAAGGCCTCACTCTCTCAAATGCAGCCAAAGAAGTAACATTTAGAACTTGTACATGAAAACCAAATTGGAACAAACAATCTTGATTTTCCTCATCTCTTCAGGCCTTGAGCCTAGGCAAAGCACACAAACACTGTATGAAACCCACAGCATGAGTTCAGTGTCAACTGGGAAAATAGATGTCACGTTGCAGTGACAGTTCTTTATACAAATATTATGCTCCCCCCCCAGCCCCACTACCAAAAAGAGGGGAAATAATCAGAAATTCAAAAATAGAAAACAACATCTTGTTAAGTGTAAACTTATCCTCTGGAGTTTCTATATTACATATGGTAGAAACATGCATTTATTTCTGCTCAGATGTAAGAAAATATGTCTATCAGTATTACTTATAAATCAGATTAATCCTCAAAAGACAATGGACTCGCTGTTAGAACACCGTTTCAAATTTTAGTAAATTACATCTTTAGCAAAATTATAAATTCTAACCACAAGCAAAATGGGTTTCAGTTGAGCCCAATGAGAACTACCTCTACCCTCTACACTGCCGCTCATGTCCCAGCGCCTACACCGCCTCCGTAAGGTCAGGGTGCCGTGTCCACAAGGAACTCGGACTCTGCAGGCTGCGAGAAGACGGTGAACCGTGAGAGCCAAGGGGAGCGGCAACTATTCCACTCAGAGACACGAAGGGACAGAAGAGATGACCAAAGGCATCTCCAAAGGATCAAGGCACAGAGGGACCTCGTTGCACACAGGATCCTGGCTCCTGCAGGCCACAGTGGGCTCTTGGGCTGCTGGTCAAACACCCGCAGCAGTCTGCTCTGCTGTGGGCCTGAACAGGGCTCATGAGGATGGCCAGGACAGAGCTCCAGCATGGTACAATGCTGGGCGAGGTGATGGGCTCCAGACTCCTACATGGGCACTGACTGGAGTGGCCTCTGACTGCAGCCATGTGGGCTGCTGATAGCCAGAGGGAGGGTACAGCCACCCCTGCCCTGCTCTTGTCCAGGAATCCCACATATTATCGGCCGCTGGGCCCTGGGGGGCCTTCACCGGGGCTTACCTCTCTCCTGACTGCCAGATACAGCAAAGCCTGGCTTATCCAGAGAACAGCAGGCTCTTCTGATCACCTCAGCTCCACCACACTACCCAATGGATAAGATTCTGGACGAATAAAAAAAGTGTCTCAAGTTCAATTTGTCATGTGTGATTCAGAAGAAGGCACTTCAAAACTCTAGAGCCATGGGGTCACTGTTGCTAGTTCGCCCATCCTCCCGAACAGGACTGATGGAGAAGCTGGAAGAATTCGGGCACGTGTTGGACCTGGCGGGTGTCCTGGCCACTCTGTAAGCCAGTTTCAGCTCAGCGAGTCTGCGGTTCACCTCATGAGTTGAGCGCACAGCAGAGACAGACACACAGCGTGTCTACATTTAGACTAAATGGGATTTTGCTGTATCGTGGCAGTTTATAAAATATTCTCACTCCGTCTATTTGAGCCTAAATAAAGTTAAAAAATTGCAGTGGTACATTTCCGAGGTCACAACGTGAGAGGTAAAGTGCTCACTGAGTAGTTTTCCTAATCACTAACCTGTCACCATGCTGACCTGCACTCAGCACCCACTCAGAGTGTGCACCAAGCTCTGGCGCTCCAGTGCCACACCCATGAGCACCAGCCAGGACTCTGCTACACAGAGAACAAAGGACCAGCAGCCGGAGGGCACTGCTCGCTCATACGGGCTGAGGCCTGCCGAAGCTGCTGCCGGAGGCAGCCCACACGGCGGGAAGGCCTGCCCTTCCCTCTGGCCCAGCCCCACTGCTGCTCAGCTCCTTACCTGGAGAAGATGCTTGGGCCACAGCCCAGGTGCTGCACTCACATTTGCAGGGTGCTATAGTCAAATCCTATCACCAGCGGGCCCAGTCTGGGGTGTGCTCTGAGGTAGTTCCTTAACTTGGGATGCCTGTCACCTACTCTTTCAGAATTCAGACATGTAGAAAATATTAAAATATCCATGCATTGCTTGAATCACAAGTCACTGTAATTGAGTGCAAAATAAAAGAAACTTGAGTTGCTTTATTTAGCTTCCAATTTCTGGGAGGCTCAAGAATTGTAAGTATTCCGGACAACAAAAGAAAATAAGACTGTGCTTACAGACCTTGTTCTGCCGTACTCTTTCTTCAGGGTAGCTATTTTATTGTTGCCCTTTCCGTTACATGGGACGTACACATCAGGTGTTAAAAGGTACAACACATTCTACAACTGAGCACCACTTTCTGTAACTGAACAGGCAAAGAAATTACACTGAACATCAGCATCTGGCAGTATTTTTTTTTTGTTGGAAAAAAAAAGTGACTAAAATGGGATTAAATTGATTAACACTATTAAATCACATCTAATATTTGATACTACATGATTCAATACAGCTATACGATACAATTATACAAAATGTGTTAACATCAAAGAATACAACCAAAATTAAGATAGCAAACAAAACCTATATAACTTTTTTTTACAGGAAAATACTTTTGAAGTATGCATGTAACTGCCCATTCTTTTAAAGAAAATCTACTGCAAGCAAAGTTATCAACCTCCAGAAAAATCACACATAGCATTACTAAGCATATCCCCAAAAAGTGTACAATATGCACACTTGGAAAATACAAAATTAAAAAAATTGTAAGCAACAGGTGAGCTTCATATTTATAAGAATGTGAAAAGAAGTCCCATTTTTAGCACTGTTGTATAAAGAATTGTCTTTTGATGCGAAGTTCATGAATTGTCCTCCTGTTGGGACCACACTTTACAAAAACACCGTGTTTTTGAAACGAGATTACAGAGCAAGATAGAGCATCTTAGCAATGTCATCTTATTAAAGTTTTTTTTTTTTTTAATTTTTACTACTTTATCAAAACATGTCCCTTAGGCGTGTAGGATTCATTTTTAAAATTCTTCCTAGAAATAATATACAAAGGAGAGGCATATTGATTCCCAATCACACTCCTGGAAGATACTCCCCGGGGTCGAGAAGGTCTTCTCTTTCTTCTTTTCACTGGTTGTTTTTGGCCTTAGCGTGTGTTAAGATGTGAGATTTCAGGTTAGTTGACTGAGCAAACTTCTTATTACAACCATCGAAGGGGCACACATAGGGCCTGTCTCCGGTATGGATTCGCACATGTGTGCGCAAATTGAAGTCCAGTGAAAAGCGTTTCCCGCAGCCTTCGAATGTGCACTGTCGAGGAAAGACCAGAGATCAACCCTCTCGGCAACTCTGACCAGCCCCCAGGAGTGACGGGCTGGATGCTTTGGCGGAGAACAGCCCGTCGGTACCCAGCACTCCTCCCTGCCCTGGGTAACTTCCTAGGTACACTAAGAACTAGTGGGCAGGGATGTCTGTGTGTTAGACCACCCCATGACCCGTGCAGGTGCCAGGTGAAGGCCCTAGAACTTCTGCAAATATCCCCAACAGTGAGGCAAAAAGGACAGAAGATTTCTGGTGTCAATTATCAAAGTGCATCCATGTAACTTATGGGCTTCAAGAAAAAAAGACAAAACACCAACTATACCCTTATGTGATGAAATTTTAAAAGTTCCCTATTGTTAGTAATTCAATATATATTTAATTTCCAAGAATAAATCACTTCAGTCCCACAGTGAACGCACCAGGAATTTAGTTCCCGGCGTGCTCTTACCCAATCCTGATGCTCTCCTGCCAGGAAATGTCCTCCGTAGCCATGGATATAATGTAACCCATGCCCAGAGCCACACAGATGGCGTATGAGCGAGTCCAGAACCTGTGAGGCTCTGCACACCCGCGGGAGACCGATTTTGTTTCTCAGGAAAGAACAGCAATAAGACTTGATTCTGGGCGGGGCCTCCCCACCCATGCTCACAGTGCCCGATGGGCAAGGCAGTGCGGAGAGAAAGGGAACTGGCTCTACCTGAAAGGGCTTCTCTCCAGTATGAACCAGTTGATGTCGTTTTAGTTTTGAGCTCTCGACAAAAGCTTTGCCACATTCTGCACAGACGTGGACTCGGGGACCGTGGGTGTGCAGGTGTTTTCTCATGGCAGAGTTATCCCTGAACATCTTCGTGCAGCCCTTCAAACAGAGAAAGAGGCTTAGTGGTCACACTGCGAACTGCCAGGAAGGGCTCAACCACCGTGACAGCCTTAACTGACACATGTACGGAACCACCTCCCAGCCCCCATTTCGATGTTCCTTAGCACTATGGAGAATGTTACGTTATTTAAGACAAAAAGACAGCTGTAAAAGGCCTTATCATTTAGTGCAAACTCTTGTTTTACAGATGAGGAAACACAGAGGCTTAGAGATGTCTTTAAGTAGACTTGCCCAAGGTCACGCTACTAGGATGGCCAAGCTGGGGGGTAGGACCCGACGCTGGCCCCAGCTACACCGCAGCCGCCTCGCCCGACCACGTCCCCCGGAACGCATAACAGAGCACTGGTAAGGAAACGGAGCTGAGATGACGGCAGTCCACCACTACCTTTGGTGGGCCCCATAGTCTGTGCTGCACCAATGGGCTGTCACTCTCCATCGCCTACTGTTCCCTCTTCTCTCTCTGCCTCTTTCCCCTTCTCGACAGAGAAAGAAGCAAGAGGGTCTCCAAGGAATGGCAACTACAGAAGAAATTTATTTTGTGAGACACTAGGAAAAGGACGAAGCAGGCAAACCGATACCAGTGCAGGGTGGGCAGGGTGGATGGATGCAAGGTGCTCGGGAGAAGCATGTCCTTAATTTCTTCTGCAGTTGTTGCCCAGGGATGGAGTGAATGGGAAATGGCAAGACAGCACAACAGAAGGACAGCACAGGCCACCACCAGACAGCTTCACAGGCAAATGGAGGGAAGCCACAGTTTTGCCACCTTGACCTCTAGGTTCGGTGTCATTTGGGAAATGGCACTTTACACGTGTAATTGAAGAGAGGTGTTGACAAGCACCTCAGGCACTGCTGTTTTCAAATGCGTACTTATGTTGGCCTGGTGGCAATCAACTTCCATTTCTAAATCTCCACATCCAGGCCAGTAAAAGAACACCAAGACCTTGTGAGCGCAGTCATTACTAGGTGACACAAGACCGAAGTCACCTTTCTCCAATCGCTGACTGTAAAATATCCTCTATTCCATTCATCATCTCTTCCTTTGTTTCTCTGCACCTATGTGATACTTTATTCTTCTGCTAGTTTTACATCCACTTAGGTTTGAAAACAGATTCCAATCAATATCTCAAAGTACACTGCAGGCAACTTTTCATTTTAGAGGTTAACTGCATTTGAAAACAACCAAGGATCCCAGTAAACAATTTAACAGTAAATAAGGTAAGGAATTCTGAGGGAATTTAGGAAATCTTTATTTGGGTTCTCTTCGCAACATTTAAAATCATTTCCGAATTTCAGTAACAACCTATGGTCCATAAAGGTGAGAGACAACCCGATGCTGGAGGATGAGCTCACTAACAATGGTCCACGCAGAAAGGAGCGGACAGTCTAATCCCCAACATGGTCAGAACACGCACGCTGGTCCCCACAGCAACCCACCTAACAGTTTCAGTTTAAGTGGCTTTTACTAAACACTAAGATTTGTCTCTTGAACTGAGCCACCAGAGCTGACAGGTCCCCACTGGATCTTGATGAGGAGAGCAGATAGGAGTGTACATTCCATATAAACTCTGACACTTTAAAAACACACACTCCCCGAGTGTTACTTACTTTATGAGGGCAAGCTATTGTTCTTGGAGCATCGTCTTCTTTAATTTTTCTTGGCTTCATTCTTACAAGAAAAAAAAAAAAAAAAAAGATTTGTAGTAGTAGACTCAACTACCATTAACCACCTAGTTCCTGGTAGGTACCAATACTAAGGCTACAACATGTTCCCACAAAGAGAAGGGACCAGACCACGCGCGCTCATGGAGCACCGTCCACTGCAAACTGCCCCTCCCATTCAGAGACAGGGTGATCAGAAAGGCCAAGGAGCCGCGCTTCTGGTCTAAGAAGTTGTGCAGCTCAGAATGGCTCTACGATGTGTGTGGCTCAAATCCCTGTTCTTTCCTCCAAACTCTTGAAAAAATACAAAAGATAAACAGCCAGACCACCACAAGTCTCCAAGCATGGGCAGGGCAAGGCCGCCAGGAGCAGCTGCTGAGTGACAGTAACACAGGTTCCGCACAGAGGACAGCAAACAGACACGGGTGGGCCTTAGAAACACATGGCTCTAAATAATTATTTTAAGAGAGATTTCTGCTATAGGGCATATGTGTTTACTGGAGAGAGACAGAAAACAACAATCACCCCAAGGGGGATGGCCAGGCCTCAACCCCATCTCCTCCCAGGATCTTGGGCCCACATGCACATGTGCCTGGAATGACTTTCAAGCCACTGGGTCCAGGACTCAAACTGCGGTTGGTCATGTGGGAGTCCAGAGACGGAACCATTACGCCATCAGCTAGTCCCTAAATAACTTTTTTTTTAAATTTAATTTCATTTATTCATTCATTTATTTTAATTTGATGAGAGAAGAGAGAGAAAGTGAGAAAGCAAGTCACTAGGTCGGGGACTCAAACCATGGTTGGCCATGTGGGAGTGTTCAGTGCCTTAACCACCATGCCACCTGCTGGCTCCTGCTTCTTAAAAACACAAAATGGGCCTCAAAAAGGATCTATTTTGTACTAGCAAATATGACCTTTAAGAAATCATTTCAGGCCCACCCTGTGGCCCAGTGGTTATGGGAGCTGGATCCACTCCAGTTTGAATCCCGGCCCTGGCAGCTGGAAAACGAAGTGGGTGTGTGCATGTGTCCCAACAGGATGGAGAATGGATGCAGTGTGGCCACAGCCCCTTGGGGAGTGCTTTCACCCTCTCTGTCTGAGTGCATGCACCTGCTGGCAACTTAAAACAAAGGAAGAAGTATCATTTCTAAAAAACGCATGGGACAGTCCCTCTACACAGAGGATGACTGTTCATATATGATATGACAAACTGATTACTTGGGGAAGAGCCTCAAGGGACTGGAGGAGGGGGAAATGTCACATGCTATTCCATACTGTTTAGCCTTTTCTCTTTTTAGGTTTTTGCTGTAGGGTGTGTGGTTTCACCAAAGGGAGGGAAAGTTAAGATCACCCCCACCCAGAGAGGATGGCTACACAGCAATCCCTTCTCCTCCAGTCTCCTCTTGAGACTGGGTACAAATGCATATGTACCCAGCATGATTTTCAAGCCAGGTCCAGGACTTGAGCCATTGTCAGCCATGTGGGAATCCAGCACCTAACCACCTGCTGGCTCCAAGAGTATTTATTATTATTTATTTTGGGGGGAGAGGGTTTTTTTTTGCTATAGGGCGCATGCACTCGCCAAAAAGAGAGAGAAAGAAAGCGAGAAATCCCTCCCCAGGGGGATAGCCATGCTGCAATCCATTCTCCTCCATTCTCTTCTTGAGATCTTGAGCAAGCACGCACATGCACCTGGTGTGAGTTTAAGCCACCTGTTCCAGGACTCAAACTGTGGTTGACTACATGGGAGTTTAGCGACATAGCCATTACGCCAACTGCTGGTCCCCCCAGAGCGTTTATTCTAAACTGATCTCTGACGCTGATTCAGGATAGGGCTTGGAAGTTCAGAGGTTCTTTACACATGGCAAAAGTCCTGGTAACATGGAACAGTCTGGGCGAACCCTGTGTGAATGACCACCCAGAAAGCTTGCTGGTTTAGTCTAGTTTAGTAACTTACCTACCTGTTACCTCTATGAACCTGCCTAAACCACAATGCTGCCTTTGGTATTTGTTAAAACCCTCTCCAAATACTCCATAACCTGTCCTTTCCTTAACCCTCACTACAGACAGAGCAGAGTGGAAATTACTAAGGGCGTTCTAACAAACACATCTAATAAAAGTAAAAAACATCTTAACCCCAATTAACAAAGTCCAATCCTTACTCTACATCTAAAAAGTTCTTTAGTCTCTTCCCCATACCTACAACTAAACTTCTCTACATTAAAAAAAATAATAATAAAACTTTCTCTTAATAAAATTATCACCAAAAATACACCTAGCCCAATATAACTAAGCCCTAAAACAAACACCAACAGAATTGTGCAGAAACCCGGGATTCCCTACAGATCTGTATGACAGAGGGGTGACAAATGAAGAGTTCCTAGGAAAACTGGAACAGGTTTAAATCTCTAGGACACTTTCTCTTTGTCCCTAGTTTTGCCACCTCTCACCCTTCATGAGGGTTCATTTCATTATTAGTAAAGTGAGTCAACAATTCCTTAACAATAAGAGCTGATTCACTACTTCCTGTCAGCCATAAAACATCACCCCTGTCACCTTTAAGTTAACAAAGGACCAACAATATCCTCCTCCTTCAACCCCTGATCTAAGAAATGACCATAGAACTGGAAGGCAAGGAAACATTTGGTTTAACCTCCGAAGCCCTCGAGGGTGGCTGGGACAATGTATCTGGCCGCGACCTCATCTCTGTGGAGTCTGTTCAAGACTGCACATATTTCCTTTCCATTCCATGGACACTGTCAGTCTGCTATCCCGTCCTCCCTCAACGCTTCAGATCCTTGCTACTCCTGTAAGCGAATCATTATCGCATCAGTGAGCATTTGTCAGTGCCTGTTGTGCACAGGCCTCTGAACCAGCCTTCGTTATCCTAAGTACCAGTGAGTCCTAGATGTTGGTAGGACCAAAGTTTGGTGCCACTGTGCCATATGGAAGAGTTCATTTTTTTTTTTTTTTGAGAGGTTTTCACTATAGGGCGCGTACGCTCTCCAGACAGACAGAGAGAGACATAGAGACAGAAAGCGAGAAATCACCCCCCAGGGGGGATGGTCACGCCGCAATCCCTTCTCCTCCATTCTCCTCTCGGGATCTTGGGCACGCATGCACACGCGCCCAGCGTGAGTTTTAAGCTACCGGGTCCGGGACGCAAACCGCGGTCAACTACGTGGGAGTCCAGCGACATAGCCATTACGCTAACTGCTGGTTCCCAGTTGTAAGAGTTCTTTAGGTAAAAGGTTTCTGTTCCATTCAAATTTAAAAAAAAGATTCATTTTTGTCATTATTGTTCATTTAAAATTTGCTATAGGGTATGAGCACTTGCCAGAGATAGGCAGAGAAAGAGGGAAAGTGAGAGAGCAAGCCGCCAGGTCTGAGTTACAGTCAGCCAGCATCTAAACCACAATGCTGCCTGCCAGCCCCTCCACTCGATTTTTTAAAAAATTGTAATTTACTTATTTATCATTAATTGTTATTATTTTAATTTGCTATAGGGTACATGCGTTCACTAGAGAGAGAGAGAGAAAGAGGAAAGAGAAGGAAAAAGTGAGAAAACAAGCTGCCAGACCCAGGACTTGAACAGAGGCCATCAATGTGGGAGTCCAGCACCTTAACCGCCATGCCACACTGCTGGTCCCTCCACTCAACTTTTTTTTTTTTTTTTTTTTTTTTCCCCCCTCGGTGCCCCCCCCCAATTTTTTTTTTTTTTTTTTTTTTTTTTTGCTATAGGGCACATGCACTCGCCAGAGACAGAAAGCGAGAAATCACTCCCCAGGGGGGATGGCCACACCTCAATCCCTTCTCCTCCATTCTCCTCTCGGGATCTTGGGCACGCACGCACACACGCCCAGTGTGTTTTAAGTTGCCGGGTCCAGGACTCGAATTGTGGTCGACTACATGAGAGTCCAGCAACAGCCATTATGCCAACTACTGGTCCCCCTCCACTCAACTATTAATGACTTAAAAAAACAATTGTCAGAGGGCATATGTGTTTGCAGGAGAGAGAGAGGGTCAAAGCATGAAAGCACACCCATAGGGCAGGTCACACACAATCTCGTTTTCATTTCTTCCTCCTTTGGAGATTTTGGGCACACACGCATGTGTTCACATGCACTGGTCCATTTCTCAAGGTGGTGGGTCTGAAACCTGACATGCACGGGCAGCACGTGCGCTCCAGATGCCTTAATAACCAGGCCACGGGCTGGCTCCTATTAATGACTTTAAAGTACACGAAAAACAAGTGTCGATCTTGCCAATTAAGAATGTATGACTGGGGCCCAGCAGGGAGTATAGAAATTAATGTATTAGATTCCCACATGGCAGACTGTGGTTTGAGCCCCAGACCCAGTGGCTTGACACTCATACCAGGCATGTGTGCATGCATGACCAGAATCCTGAGAAGAGAAGGAATTGCAGTGTGGCCACCTCCTGGGGGATGATTTCTCACTTTTTTTCTGTCTCGCTGCAGAGCACACAAGGAGCAAAAATCTCTCTTAAAAAATGACAAAAAAGGGAATGTATTGACTATGGAGATGACTACATAATTGTTGTTTGTCCAAATACATGGAATGGTACACACAGGAATGAAAGTAAATTTTGGTGTATTTAAGAGAGATTTTTGCTATAGGGCATGTGTGTTCACCGGAGGGACAGAGAGAGCAAGTTGAGAAATCACCCCCCAGGGGGGATGGCCACGCTGCAATCCCTTCTTCACTCTCCTCTCAGGATCATGAGCACGCACGTACGCACATGAGTTTTAAGCTGCTGGGTCCAGGACTCAAACTGCAGTAGACCACGTGGGAGTCCAGCACCATAATGCTGTCTGCTGGCCCCACAAATTGCACTGGATGAAAGAGGGACCAGCCCCATACGTTTTATTACATGGGAAATTTCAAACATGCACAATAGTAAGAAGTCTCATGTCCAATGTACTGAACTCTTGATTTTTTTGTTATAAGTGATATTTTTTTCTTAAAATAACATTTTCAAAATG